ATTAAAATTCTCATAATTTCAATTCAATCAAAGGACAATAAAATTTTCTTGTGGTGGATGAAGTACGAGTAGCTCCACAATTCTGAACCTTTTCTTCTTCCCTCTCTCCAAGTCCGATGCATTACTGCTTCTTCCAATTTCCAAAGCTAAGTTTGGGATACTACAGTCCTTGAGTACTGAATTCCAGCAGCAATGCTTTTGTCAACCCCTCACATATTGCAGAGGGGCTTTACCCACACATCCCCTCCAGAATGGTGTTCAATTATCCTAACGAGTCCTTTTCCCCCAGAGGGGAGGTCTCCGAGGCAACATCAGAAATGAGTGTTTACTGGTAAAGATGAGTTCTATGTCCCAAGCTGTGGATAAACTGCTGGACATTCAGGTCTTGGATGGATACAGGACAATTAAAACACACAGAGGTTTGGGGAGTTGGTGTAGCAGGTTTGTTAAGAAACTGGAAACCATCGAATGTAGTCTCCTTCCCTTCTCCATCTGCAGAAATATGACATCAGAGGGTCAGGTCAAATTCATTTGGGGGGTCTCCAACAGTCACTGTATCATGAGGTCTGGGATTGCTCTGCTCCACACACCTCACCATACCTTCTGCAGCCATTGAGCCTTGTTTTATCCAGCGAGAAAACACAAACATGCCCTCGACCCCTTGTTAAAACAGGACGGGTCCTTTCCATAATCCAGTACAAGAATCTTTCCATTTGACTTGAGCAAAAGTTGCTTGAGTGCCATCATGTCAGAATCTGTCCATGGCAGACTGTTCATGGGCATCCACATTCAGAACATTTAAAATCAAGAATACATGACTTAAATGCATTATGTGGAGACTCGGGGTACAACTAACTCCCCTTTGCTTATCTTTTGAAGCTGTGTTTTCAAAGCTCCGTTGGCATGTCAATTGTGTACTCCATTTCAGTCAGCACCTATCCAGCAGCTTCCATGAGCTGTCTAGAGGAACTAGGGTCACAACTGCCTTTGAGAATCTCATCGAGGGGGTCAAGATCCCCCTTAGACAATTTTAAATAGGGTCATATCTCCCAATAATTTTTTAAAATTAAAGTTTGTAAGTAGTCTTTTCTAATCCAAGTTGTAAAGCTTTCATTAGCTGACGTGGTCTCATTTGCATTTTCACAGACTTTTGCTGGTGGAGCTGAGCAACAGCCCCCTGAGGCTGTGTCTCATTAACTTTTTTTTCAAATCTTGTATTAACCTCCATTCTCTAGATTTCTTTAACTATGAAAATAGGAGAATTTGTGAGTCTTCTCCTCTGCCAAAGGCTACTAAACCATCCATAGAGGCTCCTTGGGCTCTCAGGCATGTTGGCTTCAGCCATTCCCTGTCAAAAGGCTCTGGGGGCTGGCAGGAGGCACAGCTAGCCAAGCATCCCTGTTAAGACACTGTCTGACCTTGTGCCCTTTATGACTACATCCAAAGCAATTCCAAGGAGGTCCTTTGCCCCTCCTCCTCCCTAGGCCATCATTAGTTTGTTGGAATAAACCAATTAACTGAATTCCCTTGTAATGCAGCAGTTACAGTTAACCCCTAAGTGTATGAGGATCCAATGTCTGAAAAAATTCAAATAAATTCAGATATCTGCTTTCTTTCTAAAAGGTCTTAAAGCAGTTTCTGACAGGCTGCATTAATTAGCATTTTCCATACACTTGATTAGCTGGCGCTATAGCGGCAGCTCTCAAGCCTGGAGGCTTCAAAGCTCAGCCCTCCCACCAGGGACCTGGCAACCCAGAGGCCTCTGCTCACCTTTGTCCTGAAGGCCTGGGCTGGCATGCCAAAGTTGTGTGACTTCGGCTGCTTGTGAAGTTAACAGCCACCATTGTAATAGCAGCTCTAAGACCATGGTGCCCACAGGTCCTGCTGACCTAGAACATGTTCAGGAACACACCTTCACTTCACTGGGACAGTTCTGAGACAGTTGCAGTGGTAACTTTTCGGGGTAAGGATATCTACAAAATTTACAAATTCTCTCATTATCTTGCCTGGAGAATTAAGAGTAACCACTCCTCAGACCAAATCTCTTATCATTCAAGTAAGACATCCATGCCTAGGACCGAACATCCTACAGTAGCCAAGCCTTAGACCTTTAGGTCTTATGACTTTGACCTTGGAAAAGCAAGGATAGTTTTGAACTCTCAGCCTTAAGACAAGATGAAGTGTCCTGACCCACAGGACATTCAATGTGGGTTTGGTAGATACCCAGGAGAAAGATGGGGGCAGGGGATACAAGAAAGGATGCCAAGACAGGAGTCTGATCAAGGTGACAACTTTATTCATCCCAAAGGGATTTATATAGGGGAAGGGGGAGGGGAAGGAATGGGGGATGTGCTGCAGCTGCAATGAGCCTGGCAGAGCCAAGGTCACTGGGATGGGTAGGTCATCCTGTGTCCTCTGGTAACCTAACTGCAGACTAACTTTATCTTCCACATTCCACCTTCTATTGTTTAAGCCTACATCCTAGATAAGCCGCAGGTCTGTTTCTGGAATTTGGCAGGTAGCAGGGTGGTCCAGAGTCAGGTACTCTCTATGAGGGTTGAGTCACATCTTTTCTCATGAGTACGTGAGGCAGCCGTACCTGGTTGATGGCCGGAGGACCCTGACAATGAAGTGAAGCCATTTTTATGTGGGGGGGGGGGGTGGGAGGGAAGAAGAAAGGAAAGAGAAAAGAGATCACTGATCCGAATTTGCCAAACATTCGCGTGTGCACTGAGTAGCTGTGACAGTAACATGGCACAGCTTGTCACGGTCCCTCCTCCAGTGCATCAACACTGAGGCAGGACTGTGAGCAACAGTGGGAATCCACAGCTGACCTTTCTAGCAGTAGCGACACAGTTACATGTGTGCACAGTAACTGTGGCCACTCTACCCTGAGGACCTGCTCTGTGCTCACTCTGAGCTAGACGCTGGACGGTCTATAATAAACAAGTACTGCAGTACAGTCCGTTCCAGTAACGCCTATCATCGCAAGCTACTGTCTGAAAATATATGATAAGCACATGTTCTAGAACATTCATCTATACTTGACAGTCATACTAGCTAACATTTACTGAACACTTAACCGCGTGCCAAGCACTATACCAAGCTCTTGTTTCTTTTTGGCTTTTAAACATTAATTGTTGTTGTCATTTTTGTTTAAAATTATTTGTGACATACATGCCATGGCATGGGTGCAGAGGTCAGAGGGTAACCTCTAGGAGTCATTTCTCTCTTTCTGTCTTGTGGATCCCAGGGAGCTAACTCAGGTCATTGGGCTTAGGAGCAATGACTCCACTAAGCCATTTCACTGGCCCTCTTTGAGTCTCACTATATAGTCTAGGCTGGCTCTGAACTCATGATCTGCTTAGCCTTTGAGTCTGGGATTATAGGTATGAACTCCCTTCCCCAGCTTGTATACTAACTTCTTCATAGACATTGCTATTTACTTCTCACTAAAAGTTCTAAGAGAGTCAGGTATGTGATTCAGTGGCACGCACTTGCTCAGTGTGCACACGGCCTTCAGTTTGACTCCCCAATACCAGACGCACCAAAAGAATAACAGAAAAAACAAAAACAAAAAACCTCTTCCGAGGAGCTGGGAGTGGTGGCATATACCCATAATTTTCACTTGGAAGGCTGAGGCAAGAAAATCCATGTCTCAAATAATTTTTTAATTGAGGATAGGTATGAGACAAGCCTGTGTCTGCTTGCTTAACTATGCAGCTGGAAAGTAGCAGGAGCAGGATTTGAACCCGAGTAAGCAGAATTCACCACACTACACCATCCCCTCAGCCTACAATGGTGAAGAACACAGATTCCATCCCTGCCCCAGGGATGCTGGTGGGCTATAAGGGGGGAAAAGGGGAATGGCTGGCAGTTTGCCTGCTCTCCTTTGGCCTCCACTGAAACTTTCTCAAGGTTTCGCTTCTTCAAGTGTGCCACAAGATGAGTAATTAAGGTAGCAGAGATCAGTGCAGGTTAGCAAACACCACGGGACCAAGTTCCAGAGCAGGAAGAGATGAGGTGGTTTGCCAGGTCAGGAGTTTGGTAAACAAGCAGATGGTGTGCATACCCTCATTGTTCAGACAGAGAGTGGCAGCTGGCCATCCCTGTAATCCTAGCACTAGAACATGAAGGAGGATGTCCTAGTAAGCAGTATTTGTTTCACTATGCTGTCCTCCCAGCCAGCACTGGATCCAGGCAGGTGGAGATGGAGAGGGTAAACCAGAGAGAAATGTAGAATTCAGAACCAGCCGAGTGTGTGTGTGTGGGGGGGGGGGAGATCTGCACTCTGAGGAGGTCAGGGGAGAGCTGTGGGGCTTCTGGTTGAGCAAATGAGTGAATAGTAGTACCGCTCATGAGAAAGGGCTGCATGATGACTCACAGCAAGATGGACCTTTGAACATGCGTCTGCCATGCTGGGTGACATCTCGGAGGGTGTGCATCAGCCATGACAAACAGCTATGGAGGTGCAAGCACTCCCTATGGGAGACCTACAATGCTCAGTCTTCAGGAATTCCTTGTTCTGTTTTGGGTCAGTGATTGTCCTGCCTGTCTCTCAGAATGCGGGGGTTACAGGTTTGAGCCACCATACTCAGTTTATGCAGTTCTGGGTACCCAAACCAGGGCCTCCTTCATGCTAGACAGCACTATACCAGCTGCACCAGCACCGTTTGCTTTTGTTTTGGTTGGTTGGTTGTTTTGTTTTTGTTTTTTGAAACAAGGTCTCCTGTAACCCAGTTTGGCCTTGAACTTATTATGTAGCTAAAGATAATCCGGAACTCTGGGTCCTCCTGTTTTTCCGACTCTCCTGTGCGGATAGACTAAAGGCATGCAGCATGCAGATCTCAACTTCAGTTAACCTCTTAGAAGAGTTGAGAAAGGGCTGAGCCATATTCTGGGAAAGACCTGATGGCGACAGAGAGGCATCCCACTGGTATCGAAGATTACTGGCTCATCTGTGACTTGTGTGTCTCTTCCCCTCCCCCCCCTCCCCGCAGATGGCTCGATTCTGCCGCAAGTCCAAGAATTCCAAGACACTGGCTTTCCTTTTAGTGGGCGTGACTTTCGTGGGGCTGCACCAGTGGGTCCTTCAGATGTCTACACGGGAGAAAGCTGAGGGCACCACCGCTGCTCCCTGGTCTTCTGCAGCTGCGGTGCAACCGTCGCCACACCTCCCGGTGCCCCCGTGCATGGCCAACGCCTCTGTGAACCTCACTGCTGGCTTCCAGCAGCTGCCTGCTCGGATCCAAGACTTCTTACGCTACCGCCACTGCCGCCGCTTCCCACAGCTGTGGGACGCGCCCCGCAAGTGCGCCGGCCGCCGCGGCGTCTTCCTGCTGCTGGCGGTGAAGTCGTCACCTGCGAACTACGAGCGGCGCGAGCTGATCCGGCGCACGTGGGGCCAGGAGCGCAGCTACAGCGGGCGACAGGTGCGTCGCCTCTTCCTGCTGGGGACCTCCCCTCCCGAAGAGGCAGCGCGCGAACCTCAGCTGGCCGATCTGCTGGACCTGGAGGCGCGCGAGCATGGCGACGTGTTGCAGTGGGACTTCCAGGACACCTTCCTCAACCTCTCGCTCAAGCACCTGCACTTGCTGGATTGGACAGCGGAGCGCTGCCCGGGTGCGAGCTTCCTGCTCAGCTGCGATGATGATGTCTTCGTGCACACGGCCAACGTGCTGCACTTCCTGGAGGTGCAGTCGCCCGAGAGCCACCTCTTCACTGGGCAGCTCATGGACGGTTCTGTGCCCATCCGCGACAGCTGGAGCAAGTACTTCGTGCCCCCGCAGCTCTTCCCCGGCAAGGCCTACCCAGTGTACTGCAGCGGCGGCGGCTTCCTCCTGTCCAGCCGCACAGCCCGCGAGCTGCGCAGCGCGGCGCGCCATGTCCCACTTTTCCCCATCGACGACGCCTACATGGGCATGTGTCTGCAGCAGGCCGGCCTGAAGCCCAGCAGCCACGAAGGCATCCGGCCCTTCGGCGTCCGGCTGCCTGGTGCAAAGCGCTCCTCCTTCGATCCCTGCATGTATCGCGAGCTGCTGGTGGTGCACCGCTTCGCTCCCTATGAGATGCTGCTCATGTGGAAGGCTCTGCACAACCCGGAGCTGCACTGTAGCCGCGGACACCGTGCAGGCTCTACCCGGGCCAGAAACCTTGGGAGCTGAGAGTGCATCTTCTGATCTGAACTAGCGATGCACACTGATGTCACCTTAAAAGCACAGATCTGGAAAGCACTATATCCTAGTGCATGGTTCTGGCCTCAACTTCAGGGGTTCTTGGTCACTAGTATCTTCAGATGTGTAGGTTTGGTTTTCTTATTTTAAGCCGGCTGCAAGACCTCTGGGCCGGGAATATCTGTTTATCCGCACACACCAGCCTTCCAGGGCACCTGTCTTCCATCCTCCATTCATTGTGGGCAGCAAGAGAAGCGTGACTGCCAAGATCAATGCCAGCTGTCAAGTGCAGTGCAATTATGAGTTGTCATTTCCACCGTTTCCTCTGCCAATGAGTGGAGCTCCCAGAAGTCAGTTCACACCCAGAACTAAGAGATGCCTGGCAGTCTTGTTCCACCATGCTCCAGGACTCTTGTGAGGTCGAAGAGGAAGTGAAGCTCATTTAGGGCTGCAGCAGGAGGCGCATCCATCACAGCTACCTTTCTGCAGTCCTGACTGTGAACTCCTAGTAGCTACGGCCTTGCTTCCCCGATGCTTTAATGCATGGACAGTGGCCATCTGTTCCAATGGTGTGGAGCATCTTCGAGAACACTGTATTAGTTTACTGTTGCTGCTGTAACAATTCTCCTTTTGAAGTCTAGGGACAAGCCCGCTTATTCTGTAGTTCTTAGCCCGTAGGTCTCTGACAACGCAGGTCTCATTAGGCTAAAGTCAAGGTGTTGGTAAAACTGCCTTCCTTCCTGGGAATCCTAGGGGAGAACACACACTCACTTTATTCCCTGTCTTCTAGAGGAGGCCTCCTTCATCTTCAAAACCAGCAATGCTGCATTTCTCTACAGCCAAATTTCTCTCTGACTATTCCTTCTCCCCATCCACTGCTCTTTTTCCCTGGAACTAAAAACCCGGCTTCACCTGGATAATCCAGGCTTAGCGTTCCATCTGTTTGTTGAGACAAAGTCTCACATAGCTCAGGCTGCCCTGAAACTTGCCATGAAGTCAAGCATGGTCTTGAATTGGGGAGCCTCCTGCCTTCAACTCCCAAAGAGTGATTACTGGTTTGTCTCCACACCCAGGTAGGCAATATCTTCATGTTGTGAAGCCAGCCCACTAGCAACATCATAGTTTATGTTGTCGTTCACGTGTAACCTATTTTAGTCACATCTTATTTATATAACATCTTGTCGTTCTCATATAACCTAATTTAGTCACAGGTTTTGGAGTTTAGGGTGTGGGGATCCTTGGAGGACCATTGGTTCTGTCTACCACGATACCAGTCAGTATGCGTGAGAACAACAATGAATGAATGAAATGAACACAAACACGTTTTCTTCTCAACAAACGGTCCTGATGCCAGCTCTCACTGTGGACAACTGGGCATCATTAATCTGAAGTTTCCTGCTTTGGAGCCTTGTTCTCAGTTCCCTGGAAGAAGGTTGTCTCCATTTTGGGGGTGGGAATATTAAGATTCTGGTATTTCAGGGCTGGAGAGATGGCTCAGTGGTTAAGAACACTGACTGTTCTTCCTGGAGACCTGGGTTCAATTCCCAGCACCCACACAACAGCTCACAACTATCAGTAACTACCAAGATCTGACACTCTCACACAGACACATGCTGGCAAAACACCAGTGTACATAAAATAAAAATAAATAATTATTTTTAAAAGATTCTGGCATTTTGTAACTTAGAAATGGCAGGAGCCAGCAGTGGTGGCACATGCCTTTAATCCCAGTACTTGGGAGGCAGAGGCAGGCAGATCACTGTGAGTTCAAGACCAGCCTGATCTACAGAGCTAGTTCCATGACAGCCTCCAAAGCCACAGAGAAACCCTGTCTCAAAAAACAAACAAAAGAGGAGGAGGAGGAGGAGGAGGAGGAGGAGAAAGAAGAAGAAGAAGAAAATAAGAAGAGGAGGAGGAGGAGAAAGAAGAAGAAGAGGAGGAGGAGGGGGAGGAACAGGAGGAGGAGGAGAAGAAGAAAAGAAGAAGAGGAGGAGGAGGGGGAGGAAGAGGAGGAGGAGGAGGAGAAGAAGAAAAGAAGAAGAGGAGGAGGAGGGGGAGGAAGAGGAGGAGGAGGAGGGGGAGGAAGAGGAGGAGGAGGAGGAGGAAGAGGAGGAGGAGGAGGAGGAGGAGGAGAAGAAGAAGAAGAAGAAGAAGAAGAAGAAGAAAAGAAGAAGAAGAAGAAGAAGAAGAGGAGGAGGAGGAGGAGGAGGAGGAGGAGGAGGAGGAGGAGGAGGAGGAGGAGGAGGAGGAGGAGGAGGAGAAAGAAAGCAAGAAAGCAGATTCGGATCCGCTGTGTGACTCTGGAGCCTGGCCGCTCATCTCTGAGGCTGAGTTGCTCTGGTGTCCAAGAAGAGGAAATGTCACTGAGTCCAAGAAGTCTGGGCACCACTTCACCTGGAGGATCAGGCATGCCGGGTGCCTCCTCCAGGCCCGTGCGCCGCCAGGGGGCGCGCCTGTCACATGGTTTCTTCTCTCCTTGGCAGAGCTGGGCTGGGCAGCAAGGCTGAGGTTTCCGGGTGGCTAGTTGCAGCTGGCGTCCAGAGAGGCAAGGAGCTCCTGGCATTGTTAGATCAGCGACTGGAGGGGGGGGGGGGCTAGACCAGACCTCCTGTCACCAGCCCTCACTCTGCATCTGGCTACCTCGGTAGAGGCCACCCTTGGGTGTCACAACTTCTTTGAAAAGCCCAGCATACTCTGACTTCCTAAGGACCCAGGAGTTAGGAAAAGAAAGATACTTCTGACTCATGACGATAGATCCAAACATCCGACGTAAATATGATAGCGACTAGAGGAGTGTAGGAATGAATGCAAACCCCCAGCACTCTGCAGTTTTGAGCCTGGGCTAAACCTACTACAAGACCCTGTCATCTCAGAAAAAAAAAAAGCCTGTGTGTGTGGGGTGCAGAGGGTGGGGGGTTCCCTCTTGATACAAGGTCTTATATAACCTAGGCTTTGCCTGGAACTCATGTTGAGTTGGGGATAGTCTTGAAATACTGGTTTTTCTGCCACTAGCTCCCAGATCCTGGGATTATAAACCAGCTTCACCATAACCAGCTCCCAAATAATAGCTATGTAATTATTGTTATTTAATACATGATAGTATTGTATCAATATATTACATTAATATATTTATTGTTATTATATATTTATTATTATTGTTACTATTATTATTTGGTTTCTCGAGACAGGGTTTTTTTTGTATGACAGCCCTGGCTGTCCTGGATCTTGCTCTGTTTGACCAGGCTGGCTTCAAACTCACAGAGTTCTGCCTGCCTCTGCCTCCCTAGTGCTGGGATCAAAGGTGTGCACCACCACTACCCAGTCTCAAAAAAAAATAATTTTTTCCGACAGGGTTTCTCTGTGTAGCTTTGGAGCCTGTCCTAGAACTCACTCTGTAGACCAGGCTGGCCTTGAACTCACTGAGGTCCGCCTGCCTCTGCCTCCCAAGTGCTGGAATTAAAGGCATGCACCACCAAATTATTTTTTAAAGCCTCAGAAGTTGGTGCTGGAAAGATGGCTCAGCTGGTAAATGCACTTGCTCCCAAGCTTGGTGACATGGGTTCAGTCATCCAGACAGCATAAACACAAAAGCAAAGGTACGGGACTCTTTGTTTTGTTTGTTTGTTTTAGCCTTAGAAGGGACATGAGTGATGGCTCAGTGGTTAAGAGGTCTTATTGCTCTTGCAGAAGACTAGGGTTCAGTTCCCAGAACCCACATGTAACTCAAAACCATCTGGAATTCCAATTCCTGGGGTCCAGCGCCCTCTTCTGCCCTCTGGGGTCATTAGTCACTCATGTACATGATGCTCATGAACTTAGCCGGGTATTTAGACTTCTTTGCTTTGTTTTGTTTTTCTACTTAGGCATGTTTAAGTTATTTTTTAAGCCTCAGATGTTTGCAGCTAAATGAAATTCTAAATTAACTTCCTCTTTCAAAAGCACCTATTTATTTAAGACATGGTTTCATGAAGCCCAAGCTCGCCCACAACTGACTGCTTAGCAGAGGATGGCCCTGAATTCCTGATCTCCTGCCCCGGACTCCCATGAGCTGCTTTTCTAAGCATGGGCCACCGTGCCAGGTCGAATTTCTTTCTTCTTTCTGTAAGGTTGTTACCATATCCTCTCTATCCTGAAATAAAATTCTTACATGATGAAATCAAAAAGATCAATATATTGGTTAATTTCATTTAAAATCTAAACAAAACAGAACAACATTAAAATAGGTAGAGCTTGGGTGTAATGAAAATCTTCTCTACATATTTCCAAATATTCCTGTAGGGGACAGAAGGCCTTCTTGAGAACTGTCAGGCCACATACAGAAAACTCTCAAGATAGATAATTGATTAGATTAGTAAGAAAATACACCCTTTTACAGATGCAAAACCAATGGTATTTCCATAACAAGTAGTTAAGAAAAGCTTGCTATATTTTGTTGATGTGCTTTGTTTGACTCCATTTGTTTATTTTGGTGTTTTGAGGCATGGTCTTGCCCTGTTGCCCAGGCTGGTCTCAAGCTGAGGCAGGAGAATTGCCTAGTTCTAGGCCAGCCTAAGCTATAAAGAAAGGCTCCAAAACCAAAACAAAATACTGTTAAAATATCAGTATAATAGAAACCAAAGGCACTTGGGACTATGAAAGGACATGTACAAAACAGTAATGTCCTAAGATGTTTTTAGATATGTAAATATTGTCTAGAGACAGCAGGTCATCAAGTTACAGCTGAGCCTCTGATTCACTGGATTCTCATCACCAGAAACAGGACTATTATGGTCTCCATTTGGCAGAGGTGAGGACTGGTGCCTACTTAGGGTGAAGACTTCAAGATTGCAAAGGTCTAGAAGGCATCGGAGACCAACTACCCTGCCTCCTACCTGTTCCTGAGCTCTAACCAGGCCCCCAACCCCCACACTTGCTGGTCACTTACCCCCTGAGCTGAGAGCTACCCAGGCCAGAGGCCAGCCTGGGGCTTCAGAGGAAGCAGACAGCAATTTGGTTATGTGTTATCTTTATAAGGTCTGAACTGCTGCTGGACTGGCCCTGCCTTTGCTCTATAGTGCTGGGAGAACTGCCAGTCTCAGCATTAAATCAACATTCTAACAATTTCTTTGGAGAGAAAGGCCTTCTCCACCCAGGGACAGTCATTTCAGACTAATCCTGGTTGGTGCAGGCTGCTCTTCCCCTTCCCGCCCCCAGCCTGCACCCCCACCTGCCTGAGAATGACAAACAGCTTCATTAATACAGTCCTTCCAGATTAACCCCAGTGCTCCCAAGAACTCAGATGACATCAGTTTTTGAATGCCATCCTTGTTCTTTATTCTAGCTCTCAACAGTTTTAAACAGAGTAAAGCTGGATGGAGTTTTACACATGACCTCTGAGGACTTGGCTGCTGGGGCAGGGAACTGAGCAGTAGAGGGAAGGACAGGGATATGGGAAGATGGTGACCAGGGAGGGAGGAGGGAGAGGAAGGTTCCAGGATAGCAGAATGGGCAGGGACTTGGGGCCTTGTCAGGATGGATGGGGAGAAAGTGTCCTTGGGTTTCGAGGTGAGGTTGATTCCTGGAAGGTGTGCGTGTGGTGTGTGTTTGAGGGTGGGCAGTGAGCAGGTGATTGACAGGCCAGGGACAAAGGCTGGCCGATTTAGGCTTTGGGGATTATGACTAAGGATGTGGGATCTAGCAGGTAGGGCCTATGAGCTGGAGCTGAGAAAATGCCCCCAGCACCTGTGCTGGACAGTGGGGGGTCCGGTGAGACCCTGGAAGCTCCTGAGGGACATGGAAGTCCCTGACACCCACACCTGCCCCTAAACACTCAGAGGTGAGGACAGCTGCCTGGGTGCTGAAACTCCGGTTGGCAGGCCCCCTGATCCCAGGTAACTGTGTGTTCTAGGGGTCCAGTGCTGGGAACCAGTACTTTATGCCATGCCTTTGGCTTCCAGGGTGCTAAAACATGGGGCTTCCATGGGGCTCAAAGGCTTCCTCTTCCAATAAGTCTTATGATCTCCAAGTCTCAAGGGACACCAGATCCCTGCAACCCTTAAGGCCCACTCAGCAACTTACCTCCTCCTAGTCCTGAGCTGCTACACAGCAGAGATAGAGCCCAGGCTGGAGACTGTGGACACTTCTACCTGCCAAAGGCAGGGGCATGAATGGGCATCCCTACCCCAGTGTGGGCTGTCCGGTGCTTTGAAAAGCAACGTGGCAACTCTTCAAAGGTTAAACATCATTGTCAGGGTGTGGTGGTAACCTGGTACACACCTTCCATGCCAGCCCCTGGGAGGCTGAGGCAGGAGAGTTCAAGGTCAGACTATGCTACATAGTTAGACTCTCTCCTTTAAAATAACAAACAAAGCTCAAGCAGGTGTGGCAGTATGCACCTGTAATCCCAACCATTGATTGGGAAGCAGAAGCAGAAGTATCAGGAGTTCAAGGCCACCCTCAGCTATATGGAAAATCTAAGGCTAGACTGGGCTGTATACATGAGACCCTGGCTCGGCATGTAAAGGCACTTGCATATATACTTTTTATTAAGTTAAATGTACTGGTGGCTGGAGAGATGGCTCAGCAGTTAAGAGCACTGACTGCTCCTCTAAGGACTTGGTTTCCATTCTCAGTGCCCACATAGTGACTCAAAACTGTCTGTAACCCCAGTTCCAGGGGACCTAGCCCCATCTTCTGACCTCCAAAGGCACAAGGCATGCATATGCTGCAGACATATATGTAGATAAACACCCATACACATTAAATAACAAAGAAAGATAAATAAAAATTAAAGTCAAACATGTAACACCAGGGCTGCAATCCATT